TCGGGAGCCCCCGACATACGGAGAACGTGGCGGCTAGAATTGGGGGATTCCGAGAAACTCTTAGCGTAATTTCTGACATCATACCTATATTCAGCACGAGTTTCGTTGGCGATGGAAAAAGAAAGAAGCTGGTGTGTCTGCGTTAATGAAACCTTTTTAAGTCGGAAGAGTTTTACATCACTCGTTGGCATGTGGAGCGTGCAATTAAAAATTGGAGGCGCTAGTTTCTTCGGTGACATTTGGGCACATAAGAACATGTTGGAGTTTTGAGATTGTGGAATGACAACAAAATGTAAAGTGAATAAGCAGAGAAAATATTAATTAAACGGTAGTAGCAACTATCCATAGCAGTGAATTAAAGTCTTCACTTACTCTTATTAGCTTCTCCTCGCCTTCCATTTTCGTAGCTCCTCCACTGAAACAAAATTGTCAAATTATGATAAATCTTTCATTTCTTCGGCATCTCTATTAAAATCCCAAAACATGTATTTTAGTTAAAATTTCGAGAAAAAATTATGCAGCATTACATAACTGCCTCTATACAGCTTATTCGAGAAAATAAAAACAGTTTATGGTTTTATTAATATCTTTAATCCACCACCCAAAAGACTAGCAAATAGACGGAGGAATATCGTATAGGGCGTAGCGCACTGACTTCGCATTCGGGAGGCTCGTGTTGAATCCCCGTGCCGGCCATCCTCACCGGGATTTCCGTGGTTTCCCCTTAGTCATCCAGGCGAATGCTGGGATGGTTCTACTGAAAAGGCCACAACCGCGAAGGAAGTTAGACCGTCGCTAGTCGAATTCGTTTCCTACGTGCGTGAAGTCACGAAGATTAAGCGAATTTGAGACACGGCGGGTTCCTGGATGGGTGACCGAATAGGAACTCTGGAGTTTAACCGCTCAGAGGGCAATTACCCTTTACAGGGCAAATAATTGCTAAAAACAAACAACTTTTGCTTAGCCACTTTTGCTTCTTCCAGCCAGCAGCTATTCTTGTAATACTCCTCGTCGCAGCCCACGTTGCATTCCAGCTGAGTGTAACCTCCTAGCGCACAGAAACTCGCCCCGGGCCCCCGCGGAGCTCTCCACGCTGCACATCGCCGCGCCAGATGCACGCAGCGCCCCCGGCGGGCACGCGCCCAACTCTCGCCCCGGCGGCCACTCAGCACGGAAGGACGCGCCGCGAGTGACTCACCGCAAGCGCAGTACCTGCTCTACTTTCCTAGCCCAATTCAAATCGGATTTAGAACGTTACTAACACTCGAGGCTTCCTAGAATGCGGGCTTGCTCAAGCCACTCGCGGTGAGCGGGAGGTGCGAGACAAATCGATTTGTTTTTCTGGGGGAGACGTGTTTGTCGTCTGGTGAACGTTACGCAACGCCTTCTTTCAAAGGGAGCAGATGAACTATAGAAAACACTGAATGGGATGCCAGGAAACAGACCCTGGTATTCGAATGTCGGTTAACTGCTGAAACAAATCTTCCCCGTCCTAGTGTATATAGTTCGCCGAGCCACAATAAATATATTTCCATTTGAAGTGTGCTGTTTGTGTGAAAGGCGCCACGAACACGTCAACGTGTAAACGCGACCGTTAAGTCGGCATCTTGGCAAGGCGATGGGCCCACATCGCGAGCGATTATTCACAAGCGAAGAAACAAAATGTTCCGTACGAAAGCGTCCGCAGCCGGGCACAAAGAAGCGTGCAAAGAAAGACGGACAGTGCGGAGGCGGAGGCGGGGGCTGGCGGGCGAGGCTCAGGGGAAGGTGGG